TAGAAGCGTTTAAATAACCTTCTACCTTCTGCTCTAATTTGATTATCATTCATTTTAGCTGTTCCGTTTTTGTTCATTTATGTAAGAATAAAAAATTAAAAAAATAAACTTTATTTTTCAAAGCCCATAAAATGAATTAAGAACACATAAATTTTTATCATCTGCGACGTGACGAATACATTTTAATTTACTCAAGAATGTGTACCCTGATACATTAAATCTAATTCCTGTCTTATTTAATTTCACAACTTTGAAAAGGAATGTATGAATAGCTATAAAATGATGAGAAGATGTTTTATGGGTTGCTTCCATTTTTTCTGAAATAAATGAATAAATATAATGCTTATATGTTTTCATATCTTTTATGTTCTTAATAACGAATGGTATAGACCTTTCCACTTCATCTTCCTTCGGTGCTGTTCTTTCATATGAAACATTATTGGTATCTTCAACAATGAAACCACAATCACATAAAATTTTATAGGTTCCAATGGTTTCTTTTGATATTTTATCTAATAAATCAAAAACTTTATCAACACCTGTGCATTTATTTAAATAATAATTTGTGTAAATATCATGATCTTCTTTCTTAAGGATACCCTTACATTGCGTAGTTAGAAAGAGAATATGATATTGTCATGATTGCTAAAGTTTTAGGCTCCAGAAATGAATATACATCAAACTGAAACAATTGATAAATTGAATGAACTTTTGAGAGGTTCTCAAATAAAAAAATTATCTAATTTTTTACAATATTACTATTATTTTATCCACATATGTATATATAGTAATTTGAGAAAACTTTTAGGAAAAAATAAGTTTAATAAAAATCTGAATTTTACTTGTTGTGGGATTGTTATTAATTGACACTCCAGACGTATTACTAATAGTTATGCGTATGCAATTAAAGTATTTCTGATGGACAAAATGTGAGATTTATATCAGATAATTCATTTCTACTATTAAGTTATTCATTTATGAGTTTGCACTTATTCGCACTAAATAAATAACTATTAAAAATTGTTTTAATTAATTGACACCATATAATAGAGTGAATTTTGTTTGATCAAACAACAATAGATGATAGATATAAAGCCAAGAAACTTGCTATTAATATGCTCTACTTGCTATTTCAATGTAAGTATGATATTTTCTAAATGTTTCGTTCAGATAACTTAGATATATTAGTCAAAATTTGAAATTTTAATAGCACATATATTAAAAATAATTATTATTCATAAAAGATTAATGAAATAGTAAAAAAAATCAATCAAATTATAAAAATACAACATTTAGAAGAATTCTTATTATCCTTCAAAAAGTCAGTATTTCTGCTGTAATTTTCTACAACATTGTAGTTATTGCACTTTGTCTATGGATTTGTATATATGTTATATATAAATTATATATCTAAACTGCCCATAAGTGCAATTTTTATATAAATTGTTTATTTCTTTAACAATTTCATATGAAATATGCTTTTTTAAGCGTATCAAAGCTGTGTTCTTAATGTGCATGGATATATCAAGAAAAATGTCGAAAAAAAATGTGAATTCACAAATTCACTGAATTTTCACCGTTTTTTGAATTTTGCTACAGCACTAATATTAAATAATACTAAAATCTTCTGTCTTTGTAAAAGAATAAATTCTGACAAAAAGTGCTCGTTTAAATTTAATGATCATCTGTATGACTAAGTGGTAAAAAGTGTTTATGACCAAAAAAGGGTTACATGCTTAGTCTATTTTTCTGACAGGATACTCTAGATTTACATGATCTCTATTTCATATCTCCGTTTTTAGATTCTTCGACAGATTTTATGATAGAAAACCAAGATTAACAAATTTCCGGCATGTTAATGAAGAAATCTGCAGCTACCCTCAATATTATTTCAATAATCAGTATCGTTTCTCTTACAATTTATTTTTTTCTCAATAATTTAACAAGAAATAACAATACACACTTGGTTTTACGTATAAAAGCTAAGTGTCGAACTTAATCAACTTTACTTACTTAGCAAATGAATATTTTTGTGGTTGCGAGTTCTGAATGCTGAAGTTTTAGATTTCTCTATAAATGATATCATTGCACTTACAATGTTGTTCCAGCCTATCGCATAAATCATAGAAAATCCAAAAAAAAAATAATATAAAGAAAATTCATGTCATGAAGTTCAAAAAATACCGTGTAACATTAAAATTTGTTATGCATAATACATTTTAGCTATTATTGATTTTTTTTAATTTTCGAGAAATTGAATGGTGAGTCCGATAGAGAAATTTTTAAAAATCCTAGTGCCTCATAGAAGTAATTTCCCTCGTCTCCCATACTTCCAAATGTATGCATATGACATAAACTTTTATGCATTACACAAGTGGCCAATAATATCTATAGAGTAAAAAATTAGAAATTTAATTTTTTTATATGATAGTTATATTTCAGATTTGCGAGCGTAACTTTTTTCTCCATGGCATACTTGTTTTAAGAGCAAATGATCAAAATCGTCCTTCAATTATTGAAGGAGCTGATATCTTTTGAAAATTGAATTGAAAGGGTATTCACTTTTCAAATTTCCTCTCAATTTTGGAAACATATCAACTCTATGAATTAACAATTATGTGCCTTCACAGTTTATCAGTCATATAAGGTGCTTATAAAGAAAAAAGTTACGCTCGCAAAATATGTTTTTATATAGATTTCACATAAAATAATTATGTAATTTCTAAAAAGAATATTTTTGTTCTTGAATATTAAAGTGTATTGTAGTTTAAAAAGTTTTAAATATGTTGCTAAAATTTCAGGTTTATAGCTCATGTCTAGCATGACTTCTTCGTATGCGCAAAAAATCTGACACGTAAGGGTATCCTTAATCGTATTAGTTGCATACGTCACGTTTTTAAGAGCTTTTTTGAATTTTTCGGAATCTAAAGGTGGTGAAAGTAGGATACAGGGGTATTTTTCATTATCAATAAATTGTAACTTATGTTTACGAATAAATTTAGTACCTTCTTCTGAAAGTGTTTCATCTATTTCACCATCTAATAAATTTTGTGTTGATTCTGAGACATAATTTTTATATCTTTCTTCATGTGATTTCTGAACTTCTGATTCTGAAGCTGGGATATTCATTAAACCCTCTACTTCATTTTCATTATATTTTTCAACTTCTCTTAATTCCTTAATTTTTTCATCTATTTCATCTCTTATTTTTTCCAGTCTTTCAATTTCAATTTCATCATATTCATCATCATCTTTTATCCGTTCTTCATAATATTCAGGGAAAACATCAGGTTCTTTTGGTTTTTCTTCTTTTTCAGATGTGGGATATAAGAAATTTATAACATCATTTTTATTCATTTTTCCATCATAATCAAATTCATTTAAGAACTCGGCAAATTTTTGACAATTTCTTAAATAATATTTATCAACTTCATAACCCGCCTCCTCTAATATATCCTTTATTTCCTCATTTGTGAATCTCATTTTTTTAACATCGTTAGTTTTGACGCTCATTTCATACGAATTAAAAATAAATTATTCAAATAATTAATTTCATAAATTCATTTAATCATTAGTTTCTAATTTCTTTTCTTTTTCTCGTTTATGTGGTCTTTGATTATGACTCCATTGAAGTTTAACCCATTCAGGATTTAAACAATGTTTAATTAATCGTGGAATATCTGACATCATCTATATATAGGAGAAAGGGACAGACTAGCCCATTGTCACTTTTTAATTTAGCAAATGAACGCTTATGGAGTGGAGTTTTTGGGTAAATCTGATTTGCTTATAAATGAAATAAAATCAAAAGAAACCATATTGGCATTATATTATGCAAAAATAAATGATCTTACTTAGTACTTTTAAAGTTAATTTCAGAAAAAATTTGACACAATGGTATCCGGCACATACAAGTGGTGTACAACCAAAATATAAGTTAGTTTAAACATATATTGCTATATCTCATGATCTTACTTAGTACTTTTAAAGTTAATTTCAGAAAAAATTTGACACAATGGTATCCGGCACATACAAGTGAGTTAGTATACAAGTCTCGTGTACTGTGGCACTGCGCGCCTCTGTACACAACTTAGCTGTTTTGACACTTTACAAAACCGTTAACGTATATTTTACAACACAAACGACAACACTAACTTAACATTAAATATTTACAAAGCCGCCAACCACTTCACTTCACTAACGTTTTCACAAACGACTTCATTAATGTAAAAATAAACGTTCTCACTTACAAAAGTATTGCAACTCCTCCCATTGCTGTGCTTCACATAACAGCTCATAATCTTCTGACTCACTTTCTTCTTCATATAGGTCAAAATCACTGTCAAAATAAATGTTAGTAAGTTTTGACAAAGCTAATGAAACACGTTTACCGTTTGTATCGTATGCTTGTATAAACTTTCCATTCTTCATTCCTTCATAAACGCTCAAACTAACTTTACCCTTTCTCCCTCGTATCTGATAGAATGTATTTTCACGAGGAACGAAGAACAAATTCTTGAACTCATGACCGTTGTAGTTTGTTATCTCAATAGTTTTCGTCATTTATATAAAAATAAAATAAAAAATAAACTTTAAAAATTAATGATATCACCACCCTCACACGTATGAAAACATAGCGCAAAAATAAATTTAGGTGAAGTGGTGAGATGTCACCTGTTTTTTCACCTCTTTTTTCACCCGTTGAATTCATTACTTTATAACTCTCTTCCTTTCTCCAACTCTTCTAACTTCTTCCTAAGTTCAGCAATGTTGTCCTCATGAAGTTTAATCTTCCTTAATATACCTTCTTTATCTAATGGTTGCTTTATCTTTCTAAACTGAACTCTACCATCCTTCATAGTATGAACGTAAAAACCTTCTGGAATAGTTCCTGATTTAATGTATTCTACCAAAAACTTTTGTTTCATTGCTTCAGTGACTTTAGTCGTCATTTCAATCAAATAAAAATGTTCAAATAAAATAAAAATAACGTTATTTTTTCAGTAAGGAAACGCAGGAGTTTTACGATTTATTTGAGGAGTAGGTTCTGGTTTAAATGTTGGAGTCGGTTTAGGAGTTGACTTTTGAACAGGAGTTTGTACTTTCATAGGTTCAGGAGTCATTGAAGGTGTTGTTTGTGATGGTGTCGGAGTTTGTTCAAATTCAGCTACTTCAGTATTATTTATAACATTTGCTTTATTTCTTTTCAACATCATAACTGCTCCTGCTGTAGCTAGCAAACCTAGTGGGAGACCATATCTTATATAAGGACTTGACCAAATGCTATTTTTGACAGGAGCTGGTGGAACACCTAACCTTGGTGAGACTGCTCTTTGCCATTGTGCAGCTCGTAAGAAATATTCAATAGGTGCTCCATAATCGTTTGGTAAAGTTTGTTTCATAGATGGTGAAGGTTCACGAGAGCTTGATGAAGAACTCATTTATAAGCTTTAAAAATAAACGTTCATCCTTTATTCCTCACTGTCGTCCGTGCTAAGTTATAGTCATCTAATCTTATTATTGGGATTCCATTAGCACGCACCTGAATGGCAAAGCAACAATCCCTCATAAATCCAATAAGTGGCTTTGGTACATTTTCAGTTGCTAGTTCAATAGGTCCTTTAACAGACAATTTGTATGTTATTGGAGCAGTAGATGTTTGACCTTGCTGGAAGCAAAAGTCCACTTCTGTTGGAAAACCACATAAGAAATGTGTGTTGTCATAGCTATCCCATTTATGTTCCACACTACCATCATCCACCAATGACCTCATAACATCTTCATTAAATCCTATCATATCATTGTTTGTATTGCAAGCGTTCGCAACCATTTCATAAAATACAGGTCCATATGATTTTTCGGGTTCTGCAGGCATATTTCCATAAGCTCCCATGGAAAGCTGAAGATATTTAAACTTAGGGTTCTCAAAATTAACATAATAGTTGTCTTTCTTTCTAAATAGTGCCCAAATACTTTTAACATTAATAGGCGTATAAGCTGCTGTAAATGTTGCACTTGAACTATCTGTATTCTTTGAGAATGAACCGTCCATAGGAATCCAATCCATAACTTTAACAGGAAAACATAAAGCCTCGTTTGTATAATGTTCTACAAGTTCTGTATAAATGTTAGGGTCTAAAGAGAATGACTTTGGATGAATGAAACATTCATTAAAATCCATCTTTGTTCGAAATAGTTGCTGGGTTACAGTTGTAATAGTAACTGTTCCACTAGCTTCTACTGCCTTCGTTATCATAGTGAATGGTTCATTCCATGGAACAAATTTATTTGTCGGTGGATTTGAATCTGAAGCAAATGCAACTTTAAGAGTTGGATTGAAAGCAATGATATCATTTACAGATATAGATGTGCATTGTAAGGCGTCGCTACTGAACTTTACTTTAAGCTGAATGTTTCCTGCAAAAGCTGGAATAAATCGAATAGCTTCTAATGGAAGGAATCTTCTAACAGGAATTCTTAAACGAAGCTTAAAATCAAATGATTTTCCTGCTGTAATTGGACCACTAACAATTTGTCCTGTTCTGCATGTTCCCGAATGACTCCATACATCTTCATGTCGAGTCTTTGAGAAAACATCTACTTTCTTTATTTGTTCGGTAGTTTGTGAGTTTGAAGTTATATATGCTTCTTCTCTTGCGTTGTCTTGAGAATATACGATACGACCATTTGCAAGGATTTGATATCCAGCAACTGCATAGAAAGCGTCATCGAAACCAATCCAAAATCCTGGTGGGTTTGTTTTATTGGAACCTGAACCAATTTCTTTATCTACAATAAATTGACCTTCCATTTTATACGTAATGAATGTATTGTAAAGGTCCAACATATTTTCACCAGGAGGTGAGAGATTGAATGTTACCCATGTGTTATCTTTAGCAGTTCCAGGTTGTGATGGAATCTTTGCGTCAGAATATTTTCTATTAGTGTCACCAATTTGAACTGCATTGTCTATGATATCGAAATATGAGCGAATCTGATGAATATGCTCTGCTGGAGTAAATTCGTTTAGCTCTGTTCGTTCTGCATGTATTTACTTCAGATAAAAATATCTATTTACTTCATTATTCTCACTCTTCTTCTTGGTATTCGTGGTGGAAGTTGTTTCTTGACATTTTCAATGAACTGTACATTCTCTTTTGTCTCAACTTCTTTCACTGGCGGGTCAGGGTTCTTTGACTCGGTTTGTTTTTCAATGAAATTCACGAACTTTGCAATAAGCTCTTGGTTCGTTATTGAAAGAACATCTGGCTTCTTTTCTTCTTGTTCTATTGACTTTTCAGTTTGAACAGAAGGTTTTATATGGGCTTCGTGGGCTTCGCCTTGCCATGCACCTTAATGTTGTCGCTCTCTGCATTCGCTAATGGACCTTTCTTTTTCTTACGTATATTTTACCATCTTTACTCTGACTTACATAATAGAAAGGATGTTGTATTCCTCTGGCGTCATTTAATATAATAGACTCTCGCTCTGATTTTGACAAGCTCATTTTACATCGGTTAAAGTTTTAATTTTAGTTTTTTATCTGCAAGTCAAATGACTCAGACAAGCCCTACGGACAAGACCCAAGGTGTCATAGATGTTGAAGCATTGAAGAAAGAAATTCGTGAGCAAATTTTATCCGAACTGAAGGAACAAAAACAAGAACAAAAGCCAGAGAGACCAAAGAGAAAACTTAGTGAAAAACAACTAGCTGCATTAGCTGCTGGAAGAAGAAGAACCCACGTTTGCTGGCAAAAAAAGCTAGAGAAGAAGCAAAAGCAAAGGAAGCAAAAGCAAAGAAGCTGAAGCAAAGAAAGAGTAAATGGTTTATTTTTATCCGAACTAAATGTATAGACAAATACCTTTATCTGTTGCGTTCAGTAGTGAAAACCCTGACGTCAAAATAAAGGGAACAGAGTAACGTTTAAGTTTCCAACAGACTGGATTGTGAACATAAATGAAGAGAAGTACATTGGCATAACATCTATGTATATAACACGTGCTTTCAGAAAGGTTGACTTTATACTTCAAGTCGAGATAGAAAATGACGAACAGTCTTTAAGCGCCCAAAACATTCACATATACAAATACTTTAAAGACGATACAACATTGTTGCAATGTATGATTTCATTTAATGAGATGTTCGAGAAAAAGTTCAACATTGAAGTACAAACTTTACAGCCTTTACGTGAGTTTCTTGCACAACTGAAAGAAGAAGGTAGTCAGCCACAACTTATAGACTTTCATTATGAATTTAATGAAAATGAAGATGGAACTCATGACTGTCAATTCATTGTATTCTCACCATTCAATGAAGTCGCTAAAAGAAAAAAAATCCATTACGTATAAGATTTCAAATCTCCGAACCAAGTGATGATTTTAAGAATGTTTTCAATTATGATGCAATGCTTCCGAGGAAAAATGAATTTTCAAAGATTGTAACACCTGGCATTTGGGATAGAAAGCAAGCAATATTATATTCAAACTTAAGCCAAAGGAGTTGAAAATGAGTTCATTGGTCATACAAGAACTTCACCACTTCCTAACCCTAAATACTATAAATTAACTGGCTTCAATCGTGAGTTTTGGATAGACATGTTCTCCACTCATGACCATAAATGTCCAGTGTTCTTGCCTCCAGACCATAAGGACTGTCTCTACATTGAAGCACAACTCTTAAACTCTACCATCGCAGTATTGTAAAATCTACGCTAGCTTTATTTTTATCACGAATGACCTCATTCATGACCTCATTCATGACCTCATTGCTGACAAAAAAAGCCGCACGGCAAGGGCGAAGCATGACCTCAGAACTTCAACTTACGAATAAAGCTTGTTTTAGTCGTTATTGAAAAGTTGAACTTTTCAGCAAAGCAAGGTTGACATGACTTACATAAGTCGAATGCAATCTCTTGACCATCATAAAGTGCTTTGTAAAGTTTCATTAAACTGAACTCAGAGTCTTTGTCATATGTTCCAACAGGTATGTGAATGTTCTTATCTTCATTGTAATAGCATTGTATAGCTTCAGGAAACATTTCATTAGCGGTTAAAGCAATAACATCTTGCTTCACGCCTTTCATTCTGCAGTGAAATGCAACTTCATTTAAATCGTTAGTGAGTAAGTCTATGTAGGTCTTCTTTCCACAGAAAATACTTTTATAAGCTAAACTTTGTTTTCCAGGTGTTATTTCTGCAAAGTCGCTATGAAATTGACCAAGGTTCTTTCCTATAAGTTCGCGACCATATCTCTTCTTAAACTCTGCTGCAAGCTTTGGATGTCTTCATTATATAAGTGCATACTGTCGGTATCCTGGTAAAAGATTTGAAGTCCCATGTCCTCTGCAGTACAGAATACTTCATTCATAATACGTTTTGACATAGACAGAATATTAACACCAAGTGGACAGAAGTTAAAGTGTCTGCAAATGCTTTTCGTTAGCTTGAAAATAGTTTTATCTGAACCATCCAAACCTTCGAACTTCACTATATGGTTGTAATTTCTTATAGCATATCTTATAGCATCTTTGTCATTTACTATGGTTATTTTTGACTCAATAGGAGATAGAATAGTTTTGCCATAAATGCTGTTCAGAATGAGTTTTATAATTTCTTGTAAGGGGTTTCCTTCTTTCTTATACTTTAACCTTAACTCAAACAACTTCTTTACTTCATCTCTTATTCTCATATCTCTGTTTCCATCGTAATAGTATCCTTGCAACACTTCACATTTGACACCTTGATATTTTATGAGGTCTTGTAATGTTATATGGTCAACATACATGAGACAGCAAGTGTTTGAACTTCTTGGAACGTTAAGTTCTGGATTTAGTTCAGGGTCGCAAACTATTAAATGAAAGTGTCTGGGTATACCAATCTCTGTTATCTTAATGAGAACAAAGAAGCCAGACATAAACTTTTCACCAATGGGTTCCTTTTGGTCATCATCGAATAAATGTCTCATGAGATACTCTGTGCTTAACATCTCCTCCTTCAATACTTTTGGAATACCTTCTAAAGTATAAAGTCTTGCTATAGCTGAAGGATATAATGAAACAGTGTCGAAGTCAGCAATGAGTTTCTTTTTGCTCTTTTTGTTTCATGTTATCTGACAACATACATCTTCCACCTTGAATGCATCTCGAAATAAATTCTCTTGGTTTATTTGAGAGGTCATAAAGATTTCCATTCGGGAAGTATACTCTGTTCTCAAACAATTTGTTAGCAATAGAACAAATACTAACGTAGTCATAAACGTTTAAATCAAACTCTTTCAATAAGTCATTGCGGAACTTTA